ACTCCTCGTCATGTCCGTGATCATATCCGGGACTCTGAACTACCTTCGGTACATCAAAACACAAAAACTCATATAACGATCGTCACCGAACTTTAAGCACGTGGACCCTACGGGTTCGAGAACTATGTAGACATGACCGAGACTCGTCTCCGATCAATAACCAATAGCGGAACCTGGATGCTCATATTGGTTCCTACATATTCTACGAAGATCTTTATTGGTCAAACCGCATAACAACATACGTTGTTCCCTTTGTCATCGGTATGTTATTTGCCCAAGATTCGATCGTCGGTATCCTCATACCTAGTTCAATCTCGTTATCGGCAAGTCTCTTTACTTTTTCCATAATGAATCATCCCACAACTAACTCATTAGTCACAACGCTTGCAAGGCTTATAGTGATGTGCATTACCGAGAGGGCTCAGAGATACCTCTCCGACAATCGGAGTGACAAATCCTAATCTCGATCTATGCCAACTCAACAAGTACCATCGGAGACACCTGTAGAGCACCTTTATAATCACCCGATTACGTTGTGACGTTTGGTAGCACACAAAGTGTTCCTCCATTACTCGGGAGTTTCATAATCTCATAGTCATAGGAACATGTATAAGTCATGAAGAAAGCAATAGCAACAAACTAAACAATCATCGTGCTAAGCTAACGGATGGGTCAAGTCAATCACATCATTCTCTAATGATGTGATCCTGTTAATCAAATGAAAACTCATGTCTATGGTTAGGAAACATAACCATCATTGATTCAACGAGCTAGTCAAGTAGAGGCAAACTAGTGACACTCTATTTGTCTATGTATTCACACATGTACTAAGTTTTCGGTTAATACAATTCTAGCATGAATAATAAACATTTATCATGATATAAGAAAATATAAATAACAACTTTATTATTGCCTCTGGGGCATATTTCCTTCAAGGGGGTGCGCCCAGGGGGTAGGCGCGTCCCCTACCCTCGTGGACAGTGTGTGGGCCCCCTGGCCTTGATTCTTTCGCCAGTATTTTTTATATATTCCAAAAAAATCTACGTTGATTTTCAGGTCATTTCAAGAACTTTTATTTCTGCACAAAAATAACACCATGGCAATTCTGTTGAAAACAGCGTCAGTCTGGGTTAGTTCCATTCAAATCATGCAAGTTAGAGTCCAAAAAAGGGCAAAAGTGTTTGGAAAAGTAGATACGTTGGACACGTATTAGTGTCTGCGGCCAGCGTCCAGGCATCGAGCAGGCCAAGTCAGCGATTCTCACCGGAAGATATGCCTTTGACCAGCGGATGTCGCGTTGATGTGGTAGTGTGTGCGTACTGAAGGAGTGAGATGAGGCTGGGGCAGACTTTGACCGCCCCTTCGGCCGCCTATCCGACCACCTCTCCTTAATGGAGAGCTCACCTATAGCGAGCTATAAGATGGTGGTCGTCCCTTCTCTCGCACCATTCCCATCTAATCCAACACTAACACTTCATCCATGCGCACCCCTAATCTTCTATTTTGGCGTCATTGATGAGGAGCAAGAAGAGGATCCTCTGGTCCCCTTGTGGGCAGAGATGGACAAGGCGTTGGAGGAGGTTGCGCAGATGGATGCGCCCGTGCCCGTGCCAGCGTTCGCCCCAGGGCTCGCGCCAGCGTTCGCCCCGGGGCCCGCGCTTAACACAGACGATTTTCTACAGTGGGCTAAGGCCGCCCAAGCTGTATTAGACGAAATTGACTTGGGCGAACGTGATGATGGCTGATGACCCACAAGTATAGGGAATCAATCGTAGTCCTTTCGATAAGTAAGAGTGTCTAACCCAACAAGAAGCAGAAGAAAACAATAAGACGTTTTCAGCAAGATTCGTTCAAATGTTTGTTTGGTAGGCGAATCACCCTTAATTCTTCAAACTCCTTCACGCCAGATTCGTTCTCCCTTATAGTTCTGCGTCAACGTCATCATGACATGGTCGTTTCCGCAACTAAGGTCATAAAACCAGAACAATGCATTAGGTTTCGTGGAACACCGTTATCTCATATTGTCTTCGCTCCTTATTAACATTTGTCACTTGGAGGTCACATATTTACTAAAAAATATGTGTTTACCTGTGCAGGTCTTCAAATCATGTTGCATGGGCCCTTATATTGGACGACACACATTACATGGACCACAGATAAATAACTCACTTAACAATCATAAAGTTATAATCACAAATGCTGACATATAGAGTAGACACGAATGAAGACCAATCCCGTACATCTCCTATGGCTTGGGGAATTACTCGCGCATGAGAAGGGAATAACCAAACTTAACGGTAACCAGACTAAGGAAAATCATCTCAATAATGTCACAAATATCCGTAATAAGATGAATGATTAAACACGTCTCGCTCTCAAGATGAGTATGAATAGAGTTACAAACCCTAACCTTATAACTTAGAATTCCTCTCCCTATGGTGGTGTTGCGGTGAATGAAAATGGAGATGGGTAGAAGAGAAGGAATGGATCTCCGACGATTCTTCTTCTATGGATCTCGTCCCTCTCTGTTCTCGATGGTGTGGTGGGCTGGTGGCGCATCTTTGTCTGTGATGGTCGATGCCCCTTCACGAAAGTTGCTTGGATTCATGAAGTGGTGCTCACGCCGTGTGGTATGACTGCTAATACACGCGGGAGCGTTCGTACCATGCGTCGTCTTGCCCTCTGGTTGCTCGGTTGAATTTTTGTCTAAAGAATAAGTTGCTCCAAATGGCTTTATTTGACAGGATATTGACTTCCAAATATATTTATTCCTGCACATCAATAGCAAAACTAAGTTGTTTTCTTTCTCAAAGTATTAGTGTTAGAAAGGCGTGAGAAATATCGAAAACCTATGAAAACCAACTCAAAACCCGCTTACAAAAGTGACAAAATGTCGACTCATCAACTCCCCCGAGCATAAGTTTTTCTCGTCCTCGAGAAATTAAGGAATAATAAGAATAAAAAGGAAATTGACATATGAGTAAAATGGTTTATCGGCTCATAATATATCCATTCTAATCCCACAGTCATAATTAAGAGATATTTGCATTCGAATGATTGCACTTAAGCTCACCGCCCTGCCACAAATAGTTTCATAGCACTAATGTTGTCCACGAGTTAGACCTTGACTGTTAATTAGGTATGGAGCAAGCAAAAAATTATTGGATGAATTTTGCATTTTTCTAGCTTTTCAAAACAGAAACATATCAAGGGGATTTTGGGTAGAAGAAAATATAGTACTCAAGTATCTCACCAACGCCCACTAGCACCGCCTAATCATGCCTCCCAAGTACTTTCTTCAACGGTCAACCATCAGATCTTCTATCTCTAGTGACGGGATTATGCCAAACAAATGATACATGCAAATTGGTTGGTTTTAGTTGTGATTTAAGGTTGAATACTATGGACTAAAATGTTGTCTCTTTCGATCAGTATTCAGTTTTTTAACACATACACACAGGCTCAAGAGGAAGTTGAATAATATTCGCTACGATGTTGCCACTGCGGATGTAAACATGCTCATAACCGAAATCCGAGCCGAAACTCTGGTGTGTCGTTCATTGACCAGCGATGGTCTCAACATAACTCAAGAGAGGTGAAGAAGTCACAATTGTGCGACATAAAGCAACATTATAGTGACAAGCCATGAAACCAGCAATGGGAAATGGCAAGCTTAGGACGACCGATCCTTCCTTAGCTGCTTCTTAGTGGTGGTCATCATGTTGAGCTTCTGTGTCTTGTCTTGTCGTTTTAGGCTATATTTAGCTTTGTTTTGTTGGACTTGTAGCTGTTGAAGTGGTTGTGTTTCCTTTCTTGCATGATTCTAAAAAAGTGTGCACTTCATGTGTATTTTTATTGGAAAGGCTTTAGTCTTTTCGAATTAGCTTTTTAGTGAGGCTTTCCAAATTAGTTGACATCCACACATGTTTTCACACCGGTGTTGAAGAACTTTCATACTCCCTCCCTCACAAAATTAAGTGTTGGAGGGTCTATACTAAATCACCGACACTTATTTTTGGATGGAGGAAGTATAAGTTTCTTTTTCAACATCCATGTAAGAGGTGGTTCATATAAGTTTCATCCTCAGGAGTATTTCAAAGCGTCGGAGTAAGATTTAAGCCACTATGAAATCCCACCGCCCACGTGAGACCTTTAATTAAGGACCCCCTTACCCGGCAAACGTTCGCCAGGGAGGGTGGTAGTTGCAGACGTTCACATTGCATTTTTTAGTTGTGTGGCAGTAGGTGAGGTGGCAGTTTCTTCAGGCGACATGACATTTTCTCTCCGAGAAGGCAATTTTTGTTTAAAATAGCCGTCGCTTGATCTCGTTTCACAACTCAAAGTGCCATGAAAGATGGTTCATTTGCCACCTCCATGTAGCGAACGTTCGCCAGCTACAATTACCGATAGTTAAAGCCAAGATCTTTGGAAAATGCAATCACTGGCAGGAAATAAATCAGGTTAGCTATTTCCTCACGAATTATTAGCTACGTCACTCGACACGAGCCAATGTTCCAAGGTCAATTTTTACCAAGACCCCGTGAGCTCACGCGTCAACCTTTAGCCGTGTGGTCCCTGTCCAAGCGAACATTCCTCGCTGCTCCTACCTTTTTTTCCCTCAGGAAATTCCCCGCTGCTGCTGCTCGGTCCATCGGCTCCCTCCCCTCCCCTCCCCTCCCCCCTTCCGTTTCTGTTCCGGACCCGTGCGACCTCCGTTTAAACACCCTCAACCCTATTTTATAACGCACCCCCTCGCGTCCGCGTCCGCTTCCGCCCGCCCGCGACAGTCACGCGCGCACTCCATTCCACGTCTGCTCCGCTGCGCCGCCTGCGCCCCGTGGCCAGCGTCAGGCATCAGCCCTCCTCCTCTCTCATCCTCCCCTCCCCTCCACTCCACTCAACGGGCACACTCCCCGGCCGCGTAGCCAGCACAGGAGCGCGGACGGCAAGAGCAAGGCCTTGTCAGCGAGGAGGAGGCCCAGCTCGGTGCTGGGACGCCAATGGCGGGGCGGCATGCGGCGGCGGTTTCCGCGTTCCTCTTCCTGCTGCTCGTGGGTGAGTCCTTGAACCACATGCTCCCTCAGTTCGTCTTCTGGTACTAGATAATAGTAGTGGTTGCCCTTTTGGAATGTGAAATCTTAGTTAAGTGGACGGCGAGTGCCAGATGCCTTGCTTCCCGCTGGGTGCTAGCTAGAGTACCTGCAATGTGTATGGTGCCGTGATGGTGTCCGACGAATATGTTCTTTTGGGGGAAATCCAATGATCTAATCCCCATGTCCCATGACCTTTATCTACTACCCAACCTTCAGATTCTTTGTTTTTCTGGCATGGAATTTGTAGAATATTAAATGGACGCATCAATGGTGGCTAAAATAAAGAGAGATTGCGCGCCCCTGAATCCTGATGTGGGGCTTTTGCAGGGCACTGCCACGGCGGCAAGACCGGCATCTGCTACGGCCGCAACGCCGACGACCTGCCGGGGCCCGACAAGGTGGCGCAGCTCATCCAGCAGCAGTCCATCAAGTACGTGCGCATCTACGACACCAACGCCGACGTCATCAAGGCCTTCGCCAACACCAGCGTCGAGCTCATGGTCGGCGTCCCCAACGCCGACCTCCTCGCCTTCTCGCAGTACCAGTCCAACGTCGACACCTGGCTCAAGAACAGCATCCTCCCCTACTACCCGGCCACCGCCATCACCCACATCACCGTCGGCGCCGAGATCACCGAGAGCCCCATCAACGTCTCCGCCCTCGTCGTGCCGGCCATGCGCAATGTGCACGCCGCGCTCAAGAAGGTCGGCATGCACAAGAAGATCACCATCTCCAGCACGCACTCGCTCGGGGTGCTCTCCCGCTCCTTCCCGCCGTCCGCGGGGGCGTTCAACAGCAGCTACGCGCACTTCCTCAAGCCCATGCTGGAGTTCCTCGTGGAGAACCAGGCGCCCTTCATGGTCGATCTGTACCCCTATTACGCCTACCAGAACTCGCCCAGCAATGTCTCGTTGAACTACGCCCTCTTCTCGCCGCAGTCCCAGGGCGTGATTGATCCCAACACCGGATTGGTCTACACAAACATGTTTGATGCGCAGGTCGATTCCATCTTCTTCGCGCTCATGGCTTTGAACTTCAAGACACTCAAGATCATGATCACCGAGACGGGATGGCCGCACAAGGGAGCTCCCAAGGAGACCGGGGCGACTCCGGACAATGCTCAGACTTACAACACCAATCTGATACGCCATGTTGTCAATGACAGCGGCACGCCTGCCAAGCCTGGGGAAGAAATAGATGTCTACATCTTCTCCTTGTTCAATGAGAACAGGAAGCCGGGCATCGAGTCCGAGAGGAACTGGGGACTGTTCTCTCCAGACCAAAGCTCCATCTACAGCATAGATTGGACTGGCCGAGGAAATGTGGACATCATGACTGGAGGAAACCGTTCAAATGGTACTTGGTGTGTTGCTTCAACCAATGTCTCGGAGACGGCTCTGCAGAATGGCTTGAATTGGGCATGCGGTCCAGGCAATGTCGATTGCTCTGCTATTCAGCCAAGCCAACCCTGCTACCAGCCCGACACATTGGTTTCACATGCTTCATATGCGTTCAACAGCTATTATCAGCAAAATGGAGCCACTGATGTGGCCTGCGGATTTGGTGGTGCTGGAATGAGGACGACGAAAGATCCAAGTAAGTATCCTGTGCTTACAACAACTACATTGATAATGTAAGGAATGCTTGCACTGGAGTATAATATCTCTGCATCATTACTGGCTTTGGATGTAGTCTGAATATTGAAAACTAGCCAATTGTAAGCCTACACTTGCAGACAATATGTGCTGACTACAGTGTTTATGATAGTAGTTATCCAGGTCCTTGACTGAAATTGCAACTGTAAGTCCATTGATATAATGCTAGCTGTATTTCTGGACATGTAGCTGGGTATTTCTTTTGAAGAATATATACACAGTTATCAGGTGTTAACTGAGTTTCTTTTTGTCTAGAGACTACAGAGAAGATAGTGCATTGCTGAATTTACTGTAATAACATAAACTTTTGACTTTTGAATGCCTAATCATGAATTTAATAATTTTATTACGTTTTCTCCCCTCTGCCGCTTCTAGCTAAAATCTGTTAGGTTAGAAAAATGGCATGTGCATCATCAGTTTTGAGATATGATCGATTCATTTTGTACGCCAATTATGCTATAACATTTCATAGGATTCACAGGCATAATCTTCTTATTTGCTAGTTCTGCATGAATCGACTTATGCTCTGATAAGAAGAAAAAATCATGCATAGACATTTTTATAATATAAATGGCCTCAATTTGATAATGGAGTTACAATTTAATATGGAAGTTTGATCATGGAGTTACAATTTAATATATAGCTTACCGATGGGTGCTGTCGCATGCTGCTTCACGCAATGCTAGATGAAATGAATTAGTACAAGATATGGCTAAACCAGTTGTGATCCTCGTGTGTTGCCTCTGCATCACTACTCTAGTGTTCTCCTATGAGCTGTGAAGTGTGACCAGTTTTTGCTTGTACTTGTTGGTTTAATGTTACTGTCGATGTTGCTTTTAGTGTCAGCTGGATAATCTTTTCAATGATTTTGTATTGCTTGCTTGCAGGTTATGACACTTGTGTTTACATGGCAGCCGGGTAAGAAAAAACTCTCTGATCTCTCTTTGCAAATGTGATGAACATGCCCACCTACTGGTCTGATCAACAGTTTGCACTAACTATTGTTTTCCTTCTTCTTTCTTACAGCAGCAAGATTAGCACCAAAAATTCAACCGCCACTCCAACTCCAAGCGGCTCCAGCCCGTCACTGTTGGCCCAATGCCGCACCCTTCTGCTCCCTGTGCTTCCCATTGTGATTGCCGTGGGCTTTCTGTGATTTTCGGAGCACGCTCTAGTTAGTACGTTCGGTTCAAAGGTGAGAGGCTAATTGCCTAATACTGGGAACCAGTAATGTTCTGATGTGTGGTGAAAGGTGGCAGTAGGGACCTGTTATGCAGTATGTTATTCTGTTTGGATGTACATCGCTGCGCGAACAATATATGTTAGTTGCCATTGAGAACTAGAAATGTGTTGCCGATGTGGTCTCTCTAACTGTGCTCATCTTTACTGCATTTTGCATCATGCTATTAATTTGGAATCTCTTCGTTGTTATTTGACATCGTTTCATTCACCAGAGGTCCTAGGATTCAGAATTATTAAGCTGTCTATCTGAATTATGTGGGCTTCTACTTTCTAGTAACTCCTCTCCGCCTGTTCATTTTCTTGAACTTCAATTGTTAGTTTTACTAGTTTTGCTTCGATACACCCTTCTTAAAAGTGTACACGAGTATTAAAGTTACTTAAAAAGGTTATCATCATATTAGCTTGCAGATCACATGCATTGAATAGATTGATTTAGATATAAAAGACTACATTACCCTTTTTTTTATTGAAGGGTTAACTTCTAACCTTCACATTTAATCTGTATCTTCTCAACTGTTATGTTAGTTCTCCACTATGCGGATGATATTCTCATTTCTCTTTTTTTTTTGAGATAAATTCATGTATCCGTTGGTTGTGGTTGTAGCCCTGTGTAGAAGTTAAGTATGGGTTGTAGCCTGTGTAAAAGATGCAATAAGTACGTAGTAACTTGGGTTTGCAAGCCCAAGACCAACTTGGCGACCGCTTTCGGCCAGAGTGCTGGAAAGTAAGATTCGGCTGACCCACACCAGTACATCGGCGGTACGAATTGCAGGCCCAGTGTACATCCAACGTTGCTGACTCGCAACTCACTGGCTTGGGTCCACACCTTACTCATCACGTTATTACTAGTACCCTAAAGAAAAATAATTATCATCTCATATGTTAGTTACAAAGATTTACGATTATGCCCATGCTTATTGTAAACCCTTTTCTTTCAAGGGTTCGGGCCATTTCTTTTGACGGCTTAAAAAATCAAAAATGTTAACGCCCACACGTGTGGGCGTTAGCCAACTCGTCCACACGCCTCCATCATCGTCCAGTAACTTCTGCACAAATCTTGGCACGAATTAGTTGATTTTGTATGCCACGTAGGACAATTCGCGTGTGTGATGTGTGAGAGAGGTCGTTCACACATCCGTTTTACCACACGGAGGGGCCGGTGTGTGGGCGTTTAGCAGTTCGCCCACACACCAGTTTTTCAGTCACGCACAAGGGTTGTTGTGTGGGCGTTTGCCATCTCGCCCACACACCCGCCTCCTCTCCCAGACCAAACCTGCCAGTTGCCATGCGTTTTGCAGTGTACATGGCAACTGCCCTAGTATGATTGCAAGCAGATGGCAACTCTCTTTTTTTTACCCGAACATGTCAGTTGCCATATGTTTTGCATGGTACATGGCAAACTGCCCTAGCGTGCACGTAAGCAGATGACAACTCTTTCTTTTTAAATAGCAACTGCCCTAGCGTGCTTGTGAGCACATGACAACTCTCTCTTTTACCCGAACATGTTTTTTGCCATGCCTTTTTTTGTAGCGCTACGTGGCAACTGCCTAGTGTTAGTAGGTAGCAACTCCTAAAATTTTGAAATCATGGCAACTGCAGTGGACCAGACCACACATGGCAACAGTTGTAGTTGTCCAAAAAATGGCAATCTGGAACTTTGACCTGAGATGACAACTGTAGTTGAGCAAACATGGCAACTGTAGTTGTCCGACATGGCAACCGTAGTTCAGCGACATGACAACTGCACTTAAACGAACATGGACGAGGGTCCGGCCCATGGCAACTGCAGGGCGCGCGGTAAAGTGTCATGTGGGGCGTGCGGGACCACGAGGTACGAGGCCTGACGTACCGGGCGTGTGGGCGTTATCTATTTTGCCCACACGCACGCGTGTAAAAGGGACCGGAAGGGAAAAAAAGAGGCGTGTGGACGCTAATTGTTTTGCCCACACACAGACGTGTGGGCTGGTCCTCTTAGGCATCACACAGAACGTGTGGGCAGATTTCTTAACGCCCACACGTGTGGCAGTTATCGGCGTCCTAAAAAATAAGACACGACTAGGGAGCACACGTGTGCTCCCTAGCATTCTGGAGCACACACCCAAAAAAGGTATGTTTTTGTCTTAATGCTATGATGCAAAATCCACTTCAAAAAAGAAAAGATTTTGTCCCATGTGCAATTATTTTGTGTGTTCAAAATTTTAAGAAAGTCATAACTTTTGAACGGAGCATCAAAATTATGATCCGTTTTCACGGTTAGATTCTTGGTGACGAGCTCTTCAAAACTAGATCCCATATTGATATGTTTCAACGAACTTTTTTTCTTCGGGCAATTTTGGTGTCACGGGGAGGCAACTTTTGTACTACCGTAGGCAACTTTCAATTAGGGTGTGCACCATCGTCATCTATCATATAGATGTTCTTTTGAGTTGGTTATAATGACTACCAAATTGCCTAGCGTCATGTGTAAGTTGCCTACCATGACTAGCTATCAACTTTGCTGTTATATGAAGCACTTGTTGCCACGTTGCCTATCATGACTATATATCGACTCAATGCTCTTACAAAGTTGGGTATCATGATTGTCAAGTTTCCTGGCGTCAACTATGAAGTTGCTTTTGATGAACTTATTTTTTCAAGCAACTTTGTTGCCACATAGAGGCAACTTTTGAACTACAGTAGGCAACTTTCACCCCCGATGTTCTTTTGAGTTGGCTATAATGACTGCCAAATTGCCTAGCATGACATATAAGTTGCCTAGCGTAAATTATGAAGTTGCTTTTGATGAACTTATTTTCTCAAGCAACTTTGTTGCCACATAGAGGCAACTTTTGAACTACAGTATGCAACTTTCACCCCGATGTTCTTTTGAGTTGGCTATAATGACTGCTAAATTGCCTAGCATGACATATAAGTTGCCTAGCGTCAACTATGAAGTAGCTTTTGATGAACTTATTTTCTCAAGCAACTTTGTTGCCACATAGAGACAACTTTTGAACTACAGTAGGCAACTTTCACCCCGATGTTCTTTTGGTTGGCTATAATGACTGCCAAATTGCCTAGCATGACATATAAGTTGCCTAGCGTTAACTATGAAGTTGCTTTCGATGATCCTTTTTTTTCTCAAGCAATTTTGGTGCCATGAAGAGGCAACTTTTGATTAGGTTACTAATGTTCTTTTGAGTTGGCTACCATGACTATCAAATTGTCTAGCATCACGTGTAAGTTGCCTACCATGACTACCCATCAAAGTTGTTGCTACATGACCCACCTTGTTTCTTATCATGACTACCTATCAACTCAATGCTCTTATAAAGATGGCTATCATGACCTCACATTTCTTAGCGTAACCAATGAAATTGCTTCTGATGAAAATATTCTCAAGCAACTTCGTGCCACGGAGAGGCAACTTTTGTTTTACAGTAAACAACTTTCTCTTAGGTAGTGTATCATGATCACTTATCATCAAAATGTTCTTTTGAATTGGCTACGATGACTACCAAGTTGCCTACAATCACCTATAAGTTGCCTACCAAGCTGCCTACCATCACGTGTAAGTTGCCTACCATGGCTATCTATCAACTTTGATGCTACACAACGCACCTCGTCACTAAGTTGTCTATGATAGCTACATATCAAATCAATGCTTTTATAAGTTGTCTATCATGAACGTCTACTTGCCTAGCGCCACCTATGAAGTTTCTTTTGATGAACTTTTTTTCTTGTCAGATATACAACTTTGGTGGACAGGAAGGCAACTTTTGAAATAAGATAAGCAACTTTCGGTTAGGTTATGTATCATGGTCGCCTATCAGCCCAATGTTCTTTTGAGTTGCCTAATATGACTAACAAGTTGTCTAGTATCACATGTAAGTTGCGTGCCATGACTACCTATCAACTTTGGTGATACATAAAGCACTTTGTTGCAATGTTTCCTATAGTGACTACCTATCATCACAGTGACGGTCAAGTTGATTAGCATCGCATATTAAGTTTCCTTCAACAAACTATACTACATATCAAATCAATGCTTTTATAAGTTGACAAAAGGAAAGGGCAGCCTCCCTGCTGACACATACTTGCCTAAGTGTTGGTTACAACTTGCCTGATCACATAGAAAAATTTGCCTAAAGAAAAAATAGCTGCTCATGCTGATTATTCACTTCGACTGGGTTACCTAGTACGAAGCAACACACACCAGTCTGCATCATAAAACAAAATGAAAAATGGGCACAGTTCGGAATGCACCACGAGTTCTACTTCTATTACAGATACAAAGCCAGTTTAGAATTTACAGCGAGTATACGAACGGTAGAACTTCTCGAATTCCTTCACCGTGGGAGCACACTCCACCTTCTCAAGCAACACTCACCACCTAGCAAAAAAGTGCCCTGCATCAATCACACAGGCAATACAAATAGGTTCTGAAAACTGCACATTTCACAAATCGTTTCTTCTTCAATCTCATCTGTGGTCAGGCCCTTGTTTTTGAGGAAGGAGAGGAACTTGATGGCGTTCTGTACGTACTTCCCTCAACGCCTGCGTCTGCAGCAGCGCCTTGAAGGCTAGCTGTGGCTGCATCTCGCCACCGTCGGCGTCTGCTGCTGCTAGGTGCGACGGCCGAGCATTTGCTGGGTGCGGCGCTCATCTCCGGGAGTAGGTAAGAGGAGGAGGCGGCGGCCGGGGTTGTGCTTGGTGTGGCGCGCGGCGCCGGGAGGAGGATCGGGGCGGCAGCCGCTTAACCAGGAGGAGGAGCACGACGGCGGAGGGATGCGTGGCCTGGAGAAGGAGCGGGCGGCGGACGCATCTCATGGGAGGAAGTGCAGGGCGGCTGGTGGTGGAACGACGAGCAGGTGGGATGAGTGGATAAGGTGCGGGAGGTGGGCAACGCGTATGTTGTTTTGTCGATAGTGCGTGCGCTCGGGACGACTATCTGTTGATGCTAAGTGCATTCGGTTTATTCGGTTTACATGGTCCAATTTATGCGGTTTTTCAGTTTGTATGGTATTAATACTTCGGTAAATATGGTATGAAATTAAAATACGGTTCGGTTTCGGTATATACCAAATTATTTCGGTATGGTTTCGGTATATACCATAAAAATCAAAGTTGACGCGGATTTGGAAATGATGTAATAATAATTAGCAAATTTATGACTCAAAACACATACTATTCTACACAAATAGTATATGACTATATATACAAGTATACATGCATGCATTGATTCATCTGTTGATGGTTATGGATGTGCTTAGCATTTTAAAAATAGAAAAATGACTATGTTACAAGAAAAAAGTACGTGCTTAGTAGTGCATTTGACTCATGTACAAGAAAAATGGCAACTTGTATGGTTGTTCATCTTAAAAAATATAAATTTATTTTTTACTTTGGTTTATTCGGTTAACCGTTCGGTTTTCCGGTATATACCATAAAAACCAAGTTCAAATTGGTATGAAAAGTTTATACCATACCGAAATCAGAAACCATAAAAATCATAAAATTGGTTCGATTCGGTTTATTTTCGGTATGGTTTTTCTGCCGAATCCACGGGTGTGTGCGACGTACGTACGGCCGTGGGTGGGGCTCATGTTGATGGCAGCGCACCGAAGGAGGCGCGAAGTTGAAGGGCGAACTCAGGATGGATGGGTGGTTGGGACGAAGCAGCAGTGGGGATCCAGACATTTCCCCCCTCGGCCTCTTCCTCTCCTCTCCCACCCTATTTATACCGGCTTCCGCCCCCCGCGATTGCACACCCACCGCCGGTTACGTGCGCCTCGATCGCCACCGCGACAAGCCGCAGCAGCAGCGAGAGAGACCGATCGACCCCGTTTCCTTGCCGGAGCGCCGCCGGGGAAGGCGAAGATGTCGTGGCAGACTTACGTGGACGAGCACCTGATGTGCGACATCGAGGGCCACCACCTCGCCTCCGCCGCCATCCTCGGCCACGACGGCACCGTCTGGGCCCAGAGCGCCGACTTCCCGTCGGTACGTCGAACCCACTCGTTGCTATTTGGCGCCTGCATGAGCCATGCATGCGCCGACGATCTTGACATGTTTGCATGCGTGATCAGTTCAAGCCGGCGGAGATGGCCAACATCATGAAGGACTTCGACGAGCCGGGGACCCTCGCCCCGACCGGGCTGCTACTCGCAGACGCCAAGTACATGGTCATCCAAGGTGAACCTGGCGCCGTCATCCGCGGCAAGAAGGTAACCATGCATGCACGTCGGACCCTTCTCATCTCTGCCCTCACCGACCAAACCAAACGTAAAATCAATCGCCGTTGGATCGGATCCGTTCCATTCCGTCCGTGATCGCAGGGCGCGGGAGGCATCACCCTGAAGAAGACCGGGCAGGCGCTGGTGGTCGGCATCTACGACGAGCCCATGACCCCGGGGCAGTGCAACCTGGTGGTGGAGAGGCTGGGCGACTACCTGGTAGAGCAGGGCATGTAGACGACGACGACGACCACGCCACGCCGCCGCAGCACCAACAATACTACCGGCCAAAAGACACAGTAGATCTCCACGCGCACGCATATGGGATTGTGGTTCAATTTCTCTCGCATCCTCCTCTAATCCTCTCTCCCTGTCCCGGCAACTACTTACCACCCCTCTTGATTCATCCGCGATATTTTTTCCCCTTGTTTCATGATGATGAGCCGTTCGTTTCGGCTAATAATTTTGATTTTTCTCTCCTATACGTATCGTTTTGGTCATTTGGGTTGCCCGTTTGAGTTGTGGATCCGGAACAATATATATATGTGATTGCCATTGGTATTTTGCAATATACGAGAATATTTATGTGTATTCCATCGTGTGGTCTGCCTTTTTTTTAGCTGTCTGCTTCAACTCCATATACATCGTTCCTATTCTGCTCCTGCAGGATCGTTTGAAGAAAAAAGCAAACAATATATATTTTTTCGGTTATGCAAGAAAAAAAAGATATTCACTGAGGAATCCACTCAAATTTGATGCGCATAGACTCTTTATTGGGCTTATTAAAAGGCCATAGCCATTTTCGGCGGGGGGACGAGCCACATAAAAGATTCGTTCGATCAAACAATTTAGTCCATTTCGTCAAAAAAAAAAAACAATTTAGTCCACATGCTGCCCGATGGCCTCCAGCGGACCAGCCCAAAAACGCAATTCCCTCGAAGAATGTAAAAAAAAACATGAATTGCAATGTTGTGGGCCCAAAAACTGCTCCCGCCTCTCCCAACAAATAGACAAAAAGACATAAAAATGCACTAGACTGAAAAAAAAACTCCCCAAAAATAATCTAGGACAGATTAAAATAATCTTTAGTTGTCAAGATATTATGAAAACAAAAAAAACCACAAAAATGTATTTATAGAATAGAACAAAAAGATTTCTACAAAGTTTGACATTGGTGATGTACAACAAAATTCTGAAAATGCCATATCAATAGATCGAATTTTCTTAACTTTGCCATCTTTAATACACCAATTTACTTGCATTTTTCTTACACACAACCAGGAAAGGTAAAAACATAGAGAAAATTGTCATCGCAAAATTTAAATTTTGCCATGGTAAACTCGATGAATTTTCCATAGAATATAATATAAATTTGCAATAGTCAAATACAGCAAAAACAACATACACAGGAAAATCTGCCATGGTATTAAACGAGAAAACATGGCAAACCTTGATGGAAAATGTTCTATATATCATGGTTAGTTAGCAAAAAAGTTTATACTTGTAATTAAAGATTTTGTTTAAGAAAAGGTTTTGTTTCACAATGGTTTTGTGTTTTGGCGGTTTTATGTACATGGTAAAAATCAGGAGGTGTTGAACATTATACATGGGTAGCATGGCAAAAAGTTATAAGATTTTTGCCATGTCAAAAAATATTTTAGTGACATGGCAAAATTTATAGATTTTTGCCATGGAAAAAATTGTGTTGGTGAAATGGAAAAATTGTATTGATAACAAGGCAAACATTATAAGATTTTTGCCATGGAAAAAATTTTGTTGGTGAAATGAATTTATATTGGTGTCATGGAAAAATAGTAATGAAATTTTTGCCTTGGCAAAATTTGTGTTGGTTACATGGCAAAAAAATATTGGATTAAATACATTACAAAGAGTTTTAAAAGTCTTTTGCCATGGTAAAAAGTTTTAATAAATTATTAATTTCAATGATGTTTGCCATGTGCAAAACATCTTAGAAATTTATGGCGGTTACAGAAAAAAAGAATCTAAGATTTGCCATCTAAGTAGTACACATGATGGCAACTGTAGAATATCATTGCACATTCACATGACACAAAAAGATTCATTAATTGTCATGTTGACGAACTGAAAATTTCTAAATTTGCCATGTTGTAAGAATGTTTGACCTCAAAAAAATTCCATATCATTGCTGGACAACATGTTCAAAAAGTGCCATATATTGTAATTGCATGGCAAGGTACAGAATTTAAAAAATGCTCACACGGACAACTCTAGAAAAATGTTGTTACTGTAAAGTTGCCATGGCAATTGTAGAGAGACATATAATTCTAAGTTTTACCATCCGAGTAGCATGCATGATGGCAATATTTTTTTTCCCAAAATCATGTCAAAAAACATCAAAAGGGAACACATGATATTCTCCATTGGTAATCTAGCAATTTCCATTTCAATGCAATCGATGTATGGCAATTTAATTCAGACGAAAAGAACAAGGGGAAGGGCAAAATAGTAGTCCTGGTATTGATCCTCTCCATCAGTAGTCTAGAATCTTCTGAATCAAAACAATTCTCAACTAGTTGAGCCTTGTTGAGAAATCAAGAGCTAGAAATACTTGCCGACAATGGACAAATATGATGGTACAACCAACCTTGAGAAATTACATGCACGCACCAACAATTGTTATGCTCTTTAGGTTTCTAGTCCCTCCGTTCCATATTATAAGAGCATTTTATGCTCTTATATTATGAGATGGAGGGAGTTGTTGTTTTTCTCATTATCTCAAAGAAAATAGTTTTTCTATTAATTTTTTGATTTAACTTTGACATATTATAGAAATTCAAGATTAAAATGGTTAAAAAATAGAAAAATATTTGTGATTAAAAAAATGTTATTTTTATAAAATTCTCACAACAATAAGAAAATAGTCTCGAAAACACTTATTATTTTCCCTTTTTTAATATTTCTTATAAATGAAGAAATTTTTAGTTTTTAAGAAATGTTCAAACGTATCCAAAAAATTTCCTCAGATTAGAATTATCCATCATTTTCAAAGAATAATCATGAATTCCAAAAAGATCAAGTACTCCTAGAAAATGTGCTAGTGAATTAAAAAAATTATTAATTGTTAAAAAATAATTAAAATACTAGAATAAAAGGTAAAAAAGAGAAAACCCGTAAAACCAAAAAACAATTAGAAAGAAAAACCAGAAATAACCAATAAGTTGAATAAAAAGGGGGAAAAGAAACGGCGGAAGACAACCAGAAAATCGCTCGAGAAAGAGTCTAGCGTAAAGAAAATTGTCCGCTTGCTTCCTACTGGGACTGGCCCATCTTTTGTTTATGAACCAAGACCTTGGCCATTTTATTCGAAATCACTAATTAAGAAGCACTCATTGCAACATGTGAGTTTCCCTTTTTTTCGTAGATCCGTTTATTCAAAATGTTTTATCTCTGAAACTGTTCGTCCAAATCTTGATCCGTTTTTACCGTTGGATTTCTCGTGTCGAGATCTTTAAAACTAGATCCCATGTTGTTAGTTTTTGACGAACTTTCTTTCATGAAAAAATGGATCTAAAAACCAGATGTAAAAAACCGACTGGGAGCACTTTTTTCCCTTTCTGAAAAGAGGCATGACTATGCCTCTTGCTGAAGCAAATCTGTGCCTCTCGTGAAAAGGAAAAAGTAGAAAGCATTTTTTTCCATTTTTGGGGGGCATGACCATGCCTCTCGTGAAAGAAAAAAAAATGTGTTTTTTCTCGTTTTTGAGAGGCACGACCGTGCCTGGAAGCAAATCCGTGCCCCGCGTGGAAGGAAAAAATGACAACGTGTTTTTCTGTTTCTAAGAGACACGGCCGTGCCTCTTGCATAAGCAAATACGTGCCTCTCGTGAAAGCAAATCCGTGCATCTCGTGAAAGGAAAAAGCAAATGCGTTTTTTGCGCAATTTTTTTTTGTCCGAAACCCAAAAACCGGTGAAAGACCAAAAAAAACCAAAAAATCATCTAAAAGCCAAAAACGCGTGCGGAAAGATAGAAAATAAAAATGGAAGAAAACACCCGGAGCGTGACACGTGACAGCGGCTGAGAGCGCACTAAATGGCGCGATCTCAACCCACCTCAAGTGACCCTTGGGAAGGCTCCCGAAAGAGGCCTCGTCAAATAGACGCTCCCTGTTTTTTTTAGGCAAGGCTCTGGCCCATCTAGCATCGTCTCCTTGTTTCGGCAGCCATTCTTATCAACTGTTTTGGGCTTTCACAAGGGCCTTATGGAAACAAATGTCAGGCCCAGTTACCTGCCTATTCTTTTTGTGCAACTGTGCTATGACATAATCCGCATTTCATAGTATTATATGATAATTCAAATTCTGCCAAGATTATTATTTTTTCAATTGAAGTGCGCTAAGACTTTGAGCATCAAGAATCTAGCCGACATTATTTGCTACACTTGTTGGCGGGGTTGGGCCTATGACCTATCCTCGTGACTTTTATGTTTCTCTAGGGTGCATTTGACAATAAAGTGGATTACTATAATTTTGCTTGTCCAACCAGTGTTTTCATATTTTTTTTTTCTCCATGAACGCTGAAATGCAGTGGTCCAGTGGCATCCCTATGAGATGCTTCCGGATGGTGGAAAAAATGGGTGCATAAATGAATAAATGATGGAATGCGGTACATCAAGATTGAACAATAATTGAGTTCATTTATAATGGATCTCTGTGGTTTGATAGATTCATCATTCGTCTTTGAATGCATTTTTTAGAATGTTGGAAATAACCAGCGGGAATTATCTGGTGGGTGAAACAGCGAAAGCTTGGCCTCAACTTAAAAAAAATTGTGAGTGAAAGGTAAGCCTCCCCCTCCATTTTTTATTGAAAAATACACAACATTCATCTAATTCCTCGACTTGAATAACCGACAGCAACTATGTACTATCCCGCAAAAAAAGACAGCAACTAGTACATGTACTACTACCTTGCAAAAACGTCTTATATTTTGATACGAAGGTAATATTATGGTTTACCTCGAATTGTCCATAGGGTTGTTGCATTACCTATCAGCAACACGTCGTGTGGTCTGACAGCAAACACACTATCAGCGATGTGCTGGTGTTGGACACACTGCTAAAGGGCAGATACATGTACAAGCACACTTGTTTCCTTTTGTCTGTTGATGAGAAGATCTTACAGATTTGTGCGCCCTGTAAAGAGCACAGGCACGCTTGTTTCTATGCTATCCGGTGAAGATTACGATTCGTTTTTGCT